CCAAGAGAATGAGAAAGTGAGAAAGCATGAATATTATCATGGGGCACTGTTGCTTTTTGAACTGGGTTGTGTATTAATAACACTCCCAGGGTGGTTCCAGGGCTCTCTTTTAGTAAAATGCCACTAGAGTGGTTCAAACCAGGGCAGCTTTTCAGCAGGATCCTACTAATAAGGGCAGGAGTTAATGCAACAGAAGGGTCATTAGTGCTCCTGGCAGAAACAACATGAAGAAACAGGGGTTTTTAGAGACAACAATCCCAGTGCACTTGCAAGGATTCAGTGGTCAAGCCTGAATTTCTCTCCACTTATGCCCATTCGTGAGAGTGAGGAACACAAACCTATTAAGAATGATGTTATCATTTGTATTTGCTCTTCTAGGGCAGGAGAAGGAGAAACCTAAATGCTCTTTTTTTTTTTTTTTTTTTTTCTGGCAAAAGAAAGCTTTTCTTGCCTTGGAAGCAGCTGAGTGGAGAATGCAGCTTTAATTAGAGCCAAGAATCAACATGTCAGGGTTGGTGTGGAGCAGGCTCTGGAAATGAAGGGTTCTGCAGGTCAACTTATAAATAAATTAAAAGAAAATACAGTAAGTTCAGGCTGAGCATGAACAAAATCCCTTTCTTCTCCCAGCAGAGCTTGTCACTAGACAAGAAATAATCGACACAGAGCAACTCATTCCAGAGACCAGAGATATTTTCCTCCTGAAGGGGTTAACACTGTGACATCTCTACAGCCATTAAATGAGGTCTCTTGGCAGGAAATTAATTTTCATGCATAATTTCATCTCCTCTTTAAGCAGCAAATGTGAAATAAATGCTACACCACTAGATGTAAATTCCAACCCAAGGAAAGCTCCTCACCTTATAAACTGCAGTGTTGGAAATAGGGTAGCACAGTTGGGCTGATTTTCTAGACCAGCTCCTTTGTCCCTCAAACCAAACCTCATCCTCAAGTCCTCTTCTCATTCCCATCTTCCCAGTGACCTGCTAGGAGGGAGCTGCAAAGTGCTCCCCAGGATGGAACAGAAACTGAGATGGGATCTCCTGATCATCATGGACACTTTGCTCATCCCATCATCCTGCTCAGAGCTACTTAAAAACATCTGAAGTGCTTCTCATGACATGTAGCCAAGAAAATGGCAATAAAGAGAAATGATCTGTGCAATAATCTTCTCCCAATGCTTTGGTCAGTGCTTTTCCTCATCCTAAACCAAAAGTGAAGCAGGAGTTCATGGAGATCTCACCCCTTGGTGACCCAGAGCTCCCTTCCAAGCTGGCCCTGCTTGAACCAAGACTTGGAACATACCAGTTGAGAGATCTTGTCCAACCTAAGTCATTCTGTGATGATTAATACCTGCTCACTTAAAAATGATGAGAGCAGGAACCTGGTTTTGATGCTGAGCTGAGGAGGCAGTTCTAAGTCAGCTGCTGGCACAGGATCTCCTGTCATCCCTGTTGTCCTCACTGGTTGCTTCACCAAAAGCTTCCTGGCTCCTCTTTGTTAGCAATCACAGAATCATCCAATCATTTTGGTTGGAAAAGACCTTTAAGATCATCCAGCCCAACCACTGATCCTGCCAAGGCCAGCCCTGCCCCATGTCCCTCAGCACCACATCTCCAGGGCTTGGAAACCCCTCCAGGGATGGGGACTCCATCACCACCCTGGGCAGCCCTTTTGGTCAAGCAGACCTGGGGACCTCCAGACCACAGGGTAATTCAGGGTGGCAACAACCCCACCAGGAGCAGGTGGAGGTGAGACAGGAGCATCACTTCCATAGGGGATGTCACCAAGCCAAGAACAACCCAAGGACACCTGCAAAGGCCTCTAGAGACATTAACCAGATGCAAGAGCTTCTCCAGGGCATGGTACCCAAACCCTCTGCTGATTGGCATCAGGATCTACACAGCTTCTACTAACACTGCCCACAAACTGGCATTTTCAGTTGCTCAGGTGAAACATGGAGAAGCAGCTGGGTCACCAGACAGAGAAAACTGCCCAGAAGAACAAAACCAACTGTTGATTAAGGCAGCAGAAACCTGAAAGTTTTGGCCTGGGGAAAAAAAAAAAACCCACCCAAGTGTTCAAGTCCTCTTTGGAAAACCACATTTCTTCTCAGAGTGAACATACAGAAGAGCTGAAATGTGGCTTCATGTCTGCAGCACATCACCAACTCCTCAAGAAAAGGTGGACAAGTCCCTGCTTTTTGTTGCTCTTCAGTCCCTGTGACATTCACTTCACTTCTTTTTTAAGTCCTTCTGTCCCTGCCTACGAGCTCTTTGAAGTCTTTTCCCATGTTTGTGTATTCACCAGACAATGAAATCCTCATCTCACCTCGACCCTCTGGGCAATCCTGGAGCACATCAAATCAAGATATGCTAATCTGCAGCCATGCTTCAAATATTTCCTTTATTTCCTTGGAAATTGTCCCCTAGGAGGCCGTTCTGCTCCTCTGCTGCACAGAGATGTGAAGGACCAGGCACTGCAGGGGGTCCTACCCATCTCCATTTCAAACAAATCCAACCTACCCTCTCATTTTGAACCCCATCCAACTTGTGACAAGAGTTGAGGGCACATCTGAGCTCTTTGGGTGAGGAACTGGGACTTGGGTCCAAATCTTTGCTTCAGTGGCAACATCTGGGACTTGGCCTCACTCTGCTCCACTGGGACCTTCAGCAAGGACCTCCTTGTCTTCACATTGGCAGCAGCCTTGTCAGAACATCTCTTAGCAAATCCTCCTGAGGAGTCAACACAGACCTACCCTGGATGGTGCCTTGGGCTGAGCACACAGGGCAGGACATGACCCTGCAGGGAACCTGTCCAGGTCATCGAAACACGTTGCTGCAGCTGCACAACAACCACATCCCTCACTCTTCTGGGGGTGCCTGGGTACTTACAGCTACTCAGGCTAATTGGGGAAACATTTAACTCCTAAAACACTAAGGAAAGGGCTTAATGGGGCACAGGGAATTTATAGCATGAAGCTGGTAAGTGCTTTTCTTTTAATGCAGTGCAGGAGACAAACAGCAAATCCATATTTACGGCTGGTTTTAAGATGTCATCTCATCATATATTATGCCTGCTTTGCTTTCTCTGGTAAGAATTGCATTTTAACCAAGTGAGCAGGGAGGTGTTGGGGTTTTTTTTTATTATTATTTATTTTCAGCCAAGCCTGCAGTTTGAACAGGCTCAGAAATAGGTCTGGTCTCCTGTGGAGATGTGAACCTTTCCACCTCCCGTGGTGCATTGCAAGCTCAGTGCACGTCGGGTCGCTGAGGAGGAACAACAACAACAACAGCAACACAATCCCTCTGAGGACCACGTACGTTTGTTACTGATGTTCCAAAAGGCTGCCCAAGCCTGGAGAAGGAGGGGAGCAGACAATGGAGTGGAAGGCATATGGACAAATGAATAAAAAATGAAGAGCTGGGACTGGAGGTGCTTCCTGGCTCGGAGGAAACACCAATAACCTGCCGGCGAG